TCGCTTTACACGCAATTTTAACATAGTTTTTATGTTGCGGCAACAATAACAATACCTATATATTTATTGCTCAACTCTCCTAGAAACTTCGTGTCATTGGCTCATACAGACATATGGGTACACATATGCAAAATCCAAAATCGAAAAACCTAACAAAATACAATTAAATTTGATACAATTTGGGATTTCTCGCTGCTGCGCTTATTGTTCACTTATTGGATTAGATATTAGATAATGCGCCTCTATCAATTTCAGATGATATACGAGGAGAAAGACAGCAGTACTGGCAACTCGTGAGTTGCCGTCTCCAAGTTCACTGGAGGTGGTCGCCTCGTGGTTGTCGGATGCCCAGCGGCTGCTTTGCACAACTTTCTCGTGCAAGGGTTCGCGAAAGGTCAGCTTGCTGTTGAAGCTATAATTTTTGGGTTGTAACTCGTTGGCTAAGTCGCTTGCATAATTCAATTAACATGAAAGTTATAGTTGCAGTCAGTTCCAATTTGAATATCACATAAATTTCTAGCCAATCCTAACTCAAAAAGACAACTCATCTTTGTGCAAGAAATACTTGGAGCCACGTTTCAATAATTTGTTCTTGATTTATCAATGAAAAAACATTAGTATAGGGTACTTTATCTGGTTGTCACGTAAGATATGGTCTATTCATTTTTGGGTTTGCTATTGGTTAAAATCCTTTCTAAGAAAAGTCGCGATAAAGTTTCCGTATCTTTTAGTTTTCGTCGTGGAGAAATGGATATGACTAAAGGTTGTCTTACAAAATGATGAATCTGTAATGAAAATAAGTAAACGCATTGTGGAAATTGATCAACAAAAAACTCATCGTTTGACATGGCTACAATTCCAATTAAGAATGCATTTCAATATATTTATGTATATTCCATGTAGTTTTATTGCCTGCATAAGCTTTAAATTGCCTTGTCAAATCTATTTTAATGTAAGTTGGAAAGCTTCAAGGGAATGGACAAATGTTTCATACAAATTGTAGAAAGTCTTCATAAAACATCTTTCTTACTTTTCTTCTTTCTCTTTAAGCTTTATTGAAGAGATCATAATGCGATGTTTCCTTGATGAAATGTTTTCGTAATCAACGTGTGGTAGGGGAGACGAACAACCAACTGGTTTTCATTGCGTGAGCGCCTCTTATTATCTGCCAGTAAAACAAACTATCCCAGTGCGTGCCTTCTCCCATGCGCATGTATAATTTGAATCGCCACAAATTAGTTTTGAATTTCTAAACTGACATTGAAGTTCAAGCCAGCGATGACCAACTAACTGCCCCAGCAGCAATTAACAGTCAAAATTAAGACGTAAAGCTACCACATTTGGCTCTGTTCAGTTGCCGACTGGTCAGCTCGGCCCGAGCCGAGCCGAACCGGGCCGGGTGTTGTCAGGCCTGGTCAGGGCACTTTCGCAAAATATATATATATATATATATATATATGTATATATATATATATATATATATATATATATGTATATATATATGTATATATATATATATATATATACATGTCTATTCATATACATTGCTGACAGTGTACTGGCCATTAGATTTATTGGCCAAGTATCTTCGCATGCAAATGCGTTTCTGTCTCTTTGAGTGAATTGATTCGTTAATAAAGCAAGTTCATGAGATTTTAAATAAAACAACCAAGACGCTTCGTAATTAGTCTTTGTTATTTCAATTCTATTTACGTTGCGCTTTTGGTACGTATCTTTACTTTTTCTTTTATAATGATCATAATAATACCCTTTAGGCAACGGGTATACGTCTTATGTTTCTGCATATTTATGTATCTGACGGTGACTGGTAATAACATAAATATGAAATCTTGTGAAAAATAAGGATTAAATAATAATATTTATTTCAAATACCATTCTTAGCATTAGCATCGGACTCAGGTGTAGTGGTACACGGACTATCAACGGGAAACAAACATATTGACAGTTGCAGTTGCAAAGATGCTAAAATATTTATGGATGCGCTAAAATTTGCTTCTTTTTAAGTTATCTTTTAGCTATCTTTAATTTCCGACGAGTTCAATTTAAATGTTGTGAAAACCTTGGGAAAAGATCAATAGCATTACACTTAAGCGTTTGCAATCGTTTCCTTTTCCTGTCTGATACATAATGTTACAAATATTTAAACTGCGAGTGTTTTTCTTCCTCTCACTCGGTTTTTGCACTCACCTTACATTTCGTAGAGCGTATGCATATCAGGTTGGGATCGCGTGGGACGACGTTGCAGCAAAATTGAAACTTTCGAAACTGTTTTCAATGGTTGGCAAACAGCTCACATATTCAGCGCGCTAAGGTCAAGCAAATTGCACAAATCCGGAGGGAGGCGCGTCTAAAAAAATATCACTAATCAAAATCGTTTAAACACGAAACGAAGATAAGTTTAACGCGTCACAGTTCCCCACTAAAGAGTATTTGAATGTCATTTACCCTATACTTATCTAAACATACATATATATTTATTTTATAAAAAACTGTTTGTTTCAACTTGCAGGTAGAATACTAAATGACGATTTTCCACCGCGACTGCTGCAGTTTTCCATGACGTGTGTAAAAGGAAAATGTACACAATTTATAGCTAAAAACCGGATAGATTGGAATATAAGATGTCATTGCATATGCATAAGGGTAAATATCAACACACATTGATATGATTATAAAATCCAAATATTATATGGTTAGATCTCGTGTTGGAGTTTTTTAAGAATTTCGAATAAGCCCATATACACAATGCGGCTATTATACAGGGTATTCAAATTGGAAAGGCAGCATAATAAATTTTATGACTGCAATGACTCAACATTTTCTAATCAGACTAGGAGCTGAAGCCATCATCATTAGCGGCCGCAAAACAAAATTCAGATTTTGCCGAAAAACAAACAACATTTGGAATATTATCAAATTGTTGATTTCAAGCAAATCGCGTGCCTTCAATTTTTAATTAACTTAATTAGCCGCACAAAAGAGCTTAGCTGGGTGCACATAGCTCTCGCAGTCAAGACAAGAAGAATCCAAAGCTCTCTGACCTTGGGTAGCCATCTGATTGTTGATTGTTGTTGTCGCTGTATTCGCAAGCGAGTTGGAGGGGCGCCCATTGGCCTCTTGGGACCTTTCGGCTGCACATTGTTTATGACTTTATTGTTTAGCTGTTGCTGCTGCTTCTTCGACTAGCACTGAAGCCGTCGTCTTCTGCAATTCAAGGGCACGGAAGCTAACACGGTCATTATGTATGTATGTGTCTATATGCTGAGGAGCTGCTGCTGCTTCTGCTACCGCTGCTGCTGGCACATTTGATTAAATTGAATGGTTTACGTTGGCAGCCCGACGGCCGCAATGATTTCTAATTTGAATTTTTACTAGCATGCATTTGCAAATAATGCTACGACTCTTGACTCTCGACTAGCGGACAGTTGTGTGCCGTGTCATGTTTGCCTTATTTATGGCCAGAGCTCGTGTAATTAATCTTCTGTTAAGTTGTAATACTAACAGCACACAAACATAAGTAAGTGCATGCTAGCCAAGCCAAGTCCCAGTGCCACATTATTAGCCACATGCCATTAGTTTTCGCCGCCTCTCATAAATGTACAATTTGCCTTTTGCAGGCATTTCTAATGCGACTCTTTATGGCATTTGGGTGGGGCCAGCCCCTCTAAAGTTTTGGATGACTTGAGCTGTGTGCTTTGTCAATAGCATATTGCAAATTCTAATACAAAGTACAACATTTCATAAATATAGATTCAAGTCAACCATCCATGAGCATGGATGTTTGTTATTGACATTTGTACAATCTACACTATCGCACTAATGCACGAATTGTGCATACTTTGGCCATTGACTTCCAATATCTAATTCGATGTTGCCTTTTTTTCGTAACATATTATGCAAGTGTAAGCAAATAAATACCGCTATTTAATAACAATAGTTTTCGCATATTTTCCTTGCACACCATTGGAACATATTTTGGATGAGGAAATCGCAGTTACAACAGCGTGTGCTTCTCTGCGAACGACCCACGCATAGGCAGCAATTAACTGCCATATGACGACATACAGTAAAAAAAAAGACACTGCACATTAGGTAGACAATAAACATACTCACATTTGTACAAATCCATATAAATGTACATATGCATGTGTTTATGTACATGTTTATGTTTGCGGACCCCTAAGTAACACGCTGCATACACGTGAAGAGCAAATGTGCATATTGAGGGCATTTCGGAATGTACTAGACAATTTTGGAAATGTCAAGCTAAAGTTAAAGTAATGTAACATAATTCAATGATATAATTTGATAATCAAATTCTAAGTGGCGAACATGATAATTCAAGTAATCCAGCAAGAGCAGACTGGATTTTAACAGAGCTGCGCTGTGACAATGAATAATCAGTGCTGACATCTTATGATTGGCACTATTCAAGCTCTCTAAAGTCAATTTTCTAAGACTTGAGTTTTTTTAAAGGCATGTAAAGCCGCTTATAAAACTTGTCTTCGAATGCCATATGCAAATAATAATGGAGTTTAAAAATATGGAAAATGGAGAAAAAACAAAACTCATAGCGTTCCCATTCATCGACTAAGTTATTGAGAAGTTGATTATTTGTATTAGCTCAAGTATATATATAGTATTAGATAAATAAATAAAAATAAAGTACATTGTCATGACTTGACTTAAATTTGTGCGTATTAAGATAAATATTTTTCACAGAGATATATCAAGCATTGCTTCTGAAAAAAATAGCTAAATTAAGCGAGAAAATGCTAAGTTGCCAACACAGCTAACAGAGACGCAGACCCATGGAAACAGATAGAAAGAGAGGGAGAGAGCGACGATCGAGAGCATATGCTAAGAATACACATGTGTGTATAGAACTGTTTAACACCCGACGTCGTGTGGGAAGCGCATATCAGAGGTTCGGCCTCGTATAGCTGGGCACTTCTCATTATTTTCAAAAAGCGAAACAGTTTTGAAACGTACGCGAAACAGAGCAAAACGTTCGCTGTCCGAACGTCAAACGCTTCGAATTAAAACAGTTCGAGATTGAAAAGAAAAAACCAAAACAAAATCAAATTTATTGATTAATTGAAACAACAAGCAATATACAGTATAACTGAAAATGCACAGCAAACTTTTGGATGAGGTATGTCTATTCATCAGATTTAAGTATTTTTAATTAGATACCATGTTGCTCTTCTATTATGCCGGCTTTTGTTGCTATTTTTGGGAGAAAAATGTTTTGGGTCCAAATATCGATAGCCGCGTTGGGCTCCCAACGTCAGCGCAATCAGATTACGCTCTTAGATTGTACTTAGTCACCAGGCCTCAGATGTTCTTCATGCGTACATATGTACGTCTTTGTGTCATTGGTTTATTTACATTCATCAGCATCATAAACATTGGCAGCCAAAGCGTCGACAACTGCGGAAAAGCATTCCTTTCTTGCTTGGGAACAAAGGCATGAGATGGCCAGTTGCTTGCTGCCAATTGAGGAAATGTTCTACTGAAATGGCCAGCCACATATTTTCGGATTAATTTTTTAAAAAGTCTTAACGATTGAGCTGGAACATACGGCGTGAGTCTTAAAGCTAGCCAAGTTCCAATCGAGGTTTCGGCGCCTGCCATGGTCAGACTTGTTCAAATGGCACAAAATTATAATGCTCGATGAACTGGTTTTCCAGCTCTGAATAATCTGCATTCATACATATTCATGCTTATTAAAAATGAGCAGACTTATTGAAAATTGAGCGTTTATTCAATGTAACGCTAACCGTTCTCGCCACACTTTAATGCAAGTGCCTTACGAAATACTCTAGAACTTATGCAAGTGATAGTTCAACAAACGATGTTTCAGCCAGCTCAGCTGTATTTTCATACGCGCCTCACCCCCTGCAAACTCAGCTGAAATGCACATGCTATTATCACACTAACACAAACACAAACACAAACAACCTGCTGCCGATTACAGAATCAGCTGCACAAGTGTGTTATTACATTATAAAGTCATCGAGCTGTCCCATTTGCTGACCCCAGACTGTGATTTTCCACGAGCTTCTGTGTTAGATCCGCGAAAGGCTAAGTCTGTGGCTACCTCTAACCAACCTTCCCTTTTCAATGCCTGACACTTGCACGGGCGTTTTATTTTAGTAAATTTGTTGGCGCATTCGTCAAAAGGCGGGGAGGCTGACCCCTCCTATGAGCAGTGCAGGTGTGTTGGTATCTTTGAGTCACTGCGACTATTTATACTCTTGCTTTTCATTTTCTTACTCAAGTCGATTGAAATATACTTATTTTATTTAACGAAACTAAGAGAGCGCCCACAACAAAAACGATTTTGAACTTTTGGTATATTGAAATCTGTATACCCTCTAGTCACCCGCAATTAAATATTTTGAATTTTTATTTAGTATATATTTTAGAGTATATCTGTGTATGCTTTAAAGAAGAACAATTCGATTTTTATACGTTTGCTTTGTTACGAACGGCACGACAAAGTGCGGATACCCCTCGCCTTTCTGCAGGCAGATGATACACTCACATTACCCAGAAAATGTGTGAATTTTCAATTTTACGTTGAGTGATTTCAATGAATGGGCACGAATTTGATTTTTTGCATGTCGAATCGACTGGCCACTTCAACATGTCTAGGAATTTGTTAATTAGCAGGTACCACCGCTGACAATGGAATACACAGGAAATGATTGGGGGGTTGGGAGCTTGCGCGATAAGCACGACAACCCCAGGGGAGAGACGTATTAGTTAGTGCACGCGTGTGCCCATTATATAGTCGGTCAGTCTGATAATACTTGTGGAGTGGGGGCTCCAGACGCAGACCAGACGGCGCAGCGATAAGCGTCAAACAACGCAAAGTTGATGAATCAATTGGGACCTTCACCCGTTTATGTGTACTTGTGCCAAGTGCTTATAGCAACAACTAATGTTCCAACTCTGCTCCCCACTTGCAGTTCAACGAGAATGGCTACATAGTCATAGAGGACTTTTTGAAGCCCGATGAGGTTGACACATTGTATCAGGCAGGGCGGGCACTTTGCATGGATGCACCACAGTCGAACCGGAAAATCTTTAGCACTATCAAGGTGGAGGATGCACACAGCAAGGAACTGTACTTCATGGAGTCCGGCGATAAGGTGCGCTACTTCTTTGAGCAGGGTGCCATCGGCGATGAGGGCCAGCTGGTTGTGGATCCGATGATCGCACTCAACAAAGTTGGTCATGCGCTGCATGTGGAGCATCCAACCTTCAATGCGCTGACTTTTAGCAATCGCGTGCGGGAGATTTGCTGGCAGTTGAATTTCAACCGCCCGGCCGTGTGCCAGAGCATGTATATTTTTAAGAATTCCGGAATAGGCGGTGAGGTAACGCCACATCAGGACTCTTGGTTTCTGCACACAGAACCCAACTCGGCAGTGGGCTTCTGGTTTGCGCTAGAAGACTGCACCCTGCAGAATGGTTGCCTTCAGTTCATAAAGGGCTCTCACAAGAGCGGCGTGCACCGTCGTTACCAGCGCAATCCCGACGCAAATGCTTCTGAGCTGATGGTCTATGATCGCCCAGCGCCCATCTACCCACAGTCCAGCTTTACGCCGCTCCAAGTGAGCAAGGGTGAGTAGAATCAAACCAGTTTTTAACTTATAACACTAACCTGCAACTCCGTGACAGGCACATGTATCGTCATCCACGGCAATGTGGTGCACAAGAGTGAGCCAAATCGCTCCCAAAAGAGTCGACATGCCTACACCTTTCACGTGATTGAGACTGAAAATAATGTGAAGTATTCAGAAGACAATTGGTTGCAGCCACCGCAGGATAAGCCATTCCCTTTGCTGTTCGAGCGCAAGGCTTAAAAGGCAACAGGACTGGGATCGTATCACTGCTGATTTTGGTATTTTTGCTTATAAGAATGAGAGTGAATTTTTTGAATGAAAATGATATCGCCATATGTTTTAAGTTGTACATGTCGAATATTATGAACTATAATAAATAAAGACTTATATATATTTAACACTACCAAAAAGCTGGAAAAGCTGCCACAACTATTGGCAGTCATGTCACAAATATTTGTAGACAATTTTTGTGTGGTCTGGTTAAGGGGCAAACACGACACTTTTAAAAAACGTGATTTTGGAAGAAAATTCCGATATGGACAGGGCCAAGCCATCGCTGTTGTTGGCAATAAGCAACGAAAATCTGAACATCGATAATTGTACAGCCTTGGTTTCAAGCTTTGCTAAACTTCCAGTTAAAATAATACTTTTCGTGAGCAGCCGAAAAGTATGCAATACTTATCGAAAAGTTAGTATTTTTCATTTTGAACAGCTGTAAGAATTCGGTTTTTTTTTTTAATTATGAGCCGCATAGAAAATACTTTTTATGCGCGCTGCAAAGTATACATCAGTATTTGAAGCACGATTATTAGAATTGTAGAGCATAGCAGCACCTCTTTCCTCTTAAATAAATGCGTTAGCACTAGCCGGTGCATGTATTGGGTTAAAGCATAACATCAAAAAACAATTGATATAGAAGTTTTGTGAAGTTTTTGCCAATGGGAATAGTTTGGCTCTAGCAGCAATGCTTATTTATCGACTGTAGAAATGTATGATAATGATATTTTTGTTTTTGTTTTTAATGGATTATACAATACCCATGTAGCCTTCTTTTCGCGTGTCTGCATGTATTAAATAGATTAAAATAGCTTAAGTTTATAAGCAAAATATTCCTTTAATATTCTTATCAATGGTGTCAATCTTGCAAAATAACATCTGAAGCCGGAACACAAATTCTTGTAGTAGACTTTTGTTTTTAGTTCAAACGAGTTTCTGTTAAAAAAAAAATATAATTTGTATTGTCCCCAAGTTATTTATTTGTAGGTATTAAATACTCCTTGACACGTGTTTAAATGATATCCACACGCGCAGTTTTAAGCGGCCGCAGCTTAAATCCGGTTAGTTATTTGGCCAAATGCAGATATCCTTTAGGGGCTTCCAGTTTTTCTTAAATAAGATAGAATCTGGCATCCTTGCCTTCACTTATAATTAATGTGACTAATTTGTGATAATCGACATGGGAATCTTGTTTATTAAACGTTTTGGCAAAAAACCAGGGGAGCTTCCATACAAAGCCTTTCACATGATTCGGCAGCCCAGGCACACACACACACACACACACACTCACGCATACACATAAATAGTGGACAGTTTTTGTTTTTGTTCCTTGAGTCTTTTGTTGTCGCTGTTGTTGCTGTGGCTTCTTCTTATATGTATGTAATGTTCTTTCATGTTGCAAAACGATTTGTTGGGCGCAAGATTTATGAACTTGTTTTCCCTGACAGCCGACAGTGGTTAAGGTAACACACACGCACACACACATGCATACATTTTCTGTGTGTGTGTGTGTGCGTGAACATGCCGCTAATTAGAAGATTTTAATTATCTGTTTTCAATCAGCTTCCACTCAGATAATGATAATGCTGCCTTGTTCTCGTTTTTTTTTAATTTATTTTTTTTTTGTATTTTTACTTTGCGGCTATTTAAGCCAAAATGTTGTTGACATTTTCGCGGATCGACGTCGCCGTCCGCATGGCCAGCAATTTTGGAAGGTGTTTTTGGTATCACGGCCACGCGAACGCTGCCAATAAGTGCTGTCAAAATGTCCTAAATCGATTAGAATTGATTTTGAGAAGCTCGCTGACAGGCCAAGCGAGCGAACGGGGATAAAACCCCCTAACCCGAGCCCGTGCCCCTGTCCGTGCCCGAACCTGGTCTGGGTTTGATCCTGTGCCCGTGCCTGTACACAATCACAATAGCGGATTACAGTTGTCTGTCGTGTTCTGCGGCCGGCTCGTTGATTGTCGGCCTTTTTGCACAGTCGTCCCAGCTTTCTCGTCAGCTCCCTCGTTGCGTGTTAAAGGCCCAAAAGGAGGCGATGTCGCTGTCATTGACGATTTATGTCAACTGCCGCCGCGGCACAATATTCAAATTCTTTGCATTCACTCATCACTTGTCGTCAGCTCGTTGCCTGCGCCCCTGCAGCGTATTGCGGGCTACGGATTGGGGGTTGCCAGTTAGGAGCTGTGGACGGCATGAGCTTTTGAAGAGATGGGATGCAAAATTATGTGTCCGGCATCGAATACCTGACGAGGGCTGCTCAATTGTTCACTGAAACTATTTGGTTCCGCATAAGAAAACAGGAAATTGGGACCACCAATAATAAAGGAAACGACCAGAGCTACCTTAAGAACGTTTTTCAATGCTGGGTATAGATGCCCAGTTGGATACAGGACGCAAAGAACCAAGATAAAACCGAGTAAATAATCTGACAGCTTACTAAGAACAACCAACTTCAAGTACAGCAAGCTCCTATTTTAAGATTGCTTTAAGGGACAATTCCATCCCGACCTATGGCACCACAAAATGTTATTAATACATATTTATTATGATTCTCAATAATAAGATACAATTCTGGTCCGGCTAAACTTAATGAGCACCTTTAAAAGCTGCACTCAAAACTAAAAGAAAAACGATTATCCGGATGATTTGCCAAAATAGATGTAAGTGAAATATAGTTTTCAAATATTATTTGTAGTCCCTCATGGTCTCCAAAAATAGCTTGTTTTCAAGCATGATCTCAATTTCGTAACCATTCGCATGGATCAAAAAGCATGCAATTCATAGTCATATTCAAGTTCTTAGTATTTGCACTTTGAACTCTTATGTTATTTTAAGCTATTCGAATTTTCAATTTTTCGTTTACGAATTGCTCAACCCACCCGCTGGCCAAATGACATTTCTGTCTAGTTAACTCGCCACTCAGCTTACCTCGCAACACGTAAATTTGATTCAAAAACAAAATTTATTTAACTCTAATGGATTTGGGCATCCCGAGTGGTTCTCAGAGCTTTGTCTTTGCCCTTTACGCGTGCCCCATGTACGACGTCTCTGGTCACCGTCCCCGTTTTCCATTTTTATCTCCCGTTTCTCGTGCGCCTTATGCCGCGCCAGGTTGAGCGCGTTGTGTTACTTGTTACTTTGATTTGACAGGATTCATTGTCTCCGCCACTTGAATGACTTCAAGCTTACGCTTCGCAATCTCAGTCGCAGTCCGCCACTGTCGTAGTGTCGTAGTCTGAGAGGCAGCCTCAGGCATAGCCACATTGTCCGCATCGTGGAATCCATCGTCGTCCGAGCCTGAAGCCAATGCGTATTGACATTTTAAATGCGTCCATCACTTTGGGTAGACATTGGATTTGGCTTGCGCCTCGGTGCTCGCTGACGGAATTGATTTAAATATATTGCGGCCCCAAGGGGCCAGAGTTCCACAGCCCTGTCGGTGCGTTTTAGTGGGCATGGACAGTAAATTGGTCAGAGGCTGCAGCAGCAATGGAATTTATAAGCGACGCGTATTTTCGACGCTTTGATTGACTTGTGTCACTTTGTCTCATTTGTCAGGCGAACGCCTTCATCCAGTTGCTGGCGCTTAAGTGTCAGGTGTCTCATTGGGCACTCAATTGAAATGTTTGGCCGTGCCTCTGCCATAAATACAGATGGATCTGAGTCGCACGAGTCGGCTGGCACTCAAGGCTTTTGTCCAAGCCAAATGACATGCGCCTGCATTCAAATGCCCATCAAATCATTATACAGATGAGCGGCCAGCGCGGCGACGGTGGTGGTGGTGGCAGCGCATCCTTTTGGCAATATCCTGCCGCAAATTCCCAACAGCTAGTCATACATGCGATTTATGACAGCTGTGTATATGGAAACGGCCTGGTACAGGAAATGTCCTGCCTGTTAACCGGAGATATGTTTCATATCCTGAAACACGTAGCCGACTGCCGTGGGAGATCCGCATTCATTTCGCAATTGAATGCCACAACTCAGGCACTGTGACAGCATAGATTTGTTTGCTTGCCACTTCCAATACCGCTCTGACTCCCACAAGCCTTGTCCATCTTCGCCTGGTTTAGTCGAAAAGGGTTTCCTTTCTGATAATGCGCCAACAAATACGTAGCTCAATTGCGTTTGATTGAATTGAATCTCCATGGTGCTAAGTCCTTGGCATGACAGCATGACAGCGGCATTAAGTTCCCTGCCTTGATAATATTCTGTTTGCCATTAATAATATATAGTTATATTCATTTGCTTCATCCTCTAAATGAACGACTCATAAATGTAAATGTATTTTAATCCAACAAATGCTTGTCAGAAGTAGGGCAAAATCTTAAGATGATCCAGTTAAGCAAATTATATACAGCACTCTTAAGGAATAACTAAAAATAACTGAAAGAAAGAAAAACGAAGAGAGAGAGAAAGAGAGAGAGAGAGAGAGAGAGAGAGGGCAAAAGATAGAGCGAAAAAAAGTTAATGTGAGCAAGGGCCTAATTATAAACTTGCCCACAAACCTTGTTAGTTCCAAGTCTTACTTGGATTCATAGGTATTGCATAATAGGGACTGTTTTTTTTTATTTTCGGGTGAGGGGAAGTTATTAAAATATTAGGTATTCATGGGTTGTGTTTGGTGTAAGAGCACATAATTAGCACGTATTACCAGGCCTTCCTGGGCTAAGTTTTTATTTTTAACTTATTTTTTTCTCGTATCCGGTCTAAATAAATTAAAATTGTTCCGTTTTAAAAATTGGTAACACATGAAATAACTGCAACCAATAGTTTTGGACATATTTATCTGCCGTTGAGTTGATTTTCCAAACTCGGTGAAACACATTCATTCAGTCAGTTATAATGGAAAGCCTTGGCGATAAGAATTTAGCCGATTGCATTCCACCTAACCCAGCACCTGTAGAGCCTTTCTATAAGAAATAGGTATCTTATCTCAATAATCTTATAAAAAGTATAATCTTATAAAAGTATGTGTAAATTCTATTTCCATTGGGCCTATTGATTAATTTAGATTTACTGGCCACAAAATTGACTTTCTATTTGGGAAAACTCCCTAAAGACATTATCATTTGTCAATTAGCCCAATCACAATTATCGAGAGCCAC